CAAGTCCAAATGTGTATTTGGTCTTCTTTGCTTTCTAGGCACCTAGGGCACGTACTGTCTGTGTATAGTTTTGGATTCCTCTTGTGTAGTGTTTCAAGCACTGGAAGTTCATTCATTAATAATTTGATTTTGTATCAATATCCCTAGATATTTCACTGATTCTTTCATTCCAGCAGCTTTAACTATTTGATTGTTTTGTAAAGTTATAGTTTTATTCTTAGAATTTAGAATGACCAATTGGTACTTGTTTAGATTATCTTTTATATCAGTGGCTTTGTAAAGGGATTTTGTTATTTGATATAATGATATCATAGCTTCTTGATTGCTGGCTATGAGGGCAGTATCATCCATGTAAGCTAGATTGCTTATTGATACTGATAATGGAGTGGGTTGCATAATGTTGAGTTTTCTTAAATTTTGTGTATACATGTTGTAACCTAGTTCAGGGTGTTTGTCTAATTTGCACAGAAGGGGATCATAAAAAATTCTCCAGAGAATAGGGGACCACACTTCCCCCTGCTCAATTCCATCTTCTATATTAAACTTATTTGTAACTCCAACAGATGTGATTACTTGACTTGACCTGTTATTTAGGGTATTGACCACAAGGTTGATGAATTCTTTGGGTAATCTTATTCTGTTCATTGCCTTTTCCAAAATTTGTATGTTCATGGAGTCATAAGCTTTAGATATATCCACAAAACCCAGAGTTCTTTATTTTTCTCTTTAGCATCTTCTATCAGATTATTCAGAATATGCAGAGGTGTGTGTGTACAGTCTCCTGGCAATGCAGCAAAATTACTCCCTCTTAATATATTGTATGTGGAGAATATTGTGGATAGCCTATTAGTTAATATTTTTGATAGAAGTTTTTTTGTGGTTTCTATCAATGTTATTGGTCTGGTGTTTGCTAAATTACCATCCCAAGCTTCTTTTTTAGGTATTGGGAATATAAATGAGTTTTTCCATTCTTTGGGGATTTTTTGTGTAATGATGCATTTGTTTAGGAGTTTCCTAATTAAATTCCTAAATTTTTGGGAAGTATGTTTGATTAATTCGTATGTTATGCCTGATGGGCCTGCTGCTTTGTTGTTAGCACACTCAGATATAGCTATTTGTAATTCTGCTTCTGAGATATTTGTCATAAGGTCTTCATACCAATCTTCATTTATGTAATTTCTGGGTGTGTATTGTTCGCTCCACTGTCTTATATGCTCCACTCTATCCCATTGCCTTTGTACTGACATATCTCTGAAATATTTACAAGTTTTATTCATTATTTCTTCTGTTTCTGTGTATATTACTGGTTCATCATTTTCTCCTCTTTCTATTATTTTGTTGATAGTTAGAGGTTTCTTGTGTCTGTCTAAGATGCTGCTTATCATCCTAGATGGGTTATCATCTATATTGTTGCATCAAGTTTCAATTGCCTCTTTTATTAATTGATTCTGTTTGATTTGTTCTTCAATGCATAATGCTCTAAATAATTCTTTTCCCTTACGTTTAATTTCTGATAACCATCCTTCTAATCTAGAGATATCCTCAACTATGTTTTTTGTGATTAATGTAATTTGTAATGTCCCATTATTGTTTATTTCTTGTATTATACTTTCAATGTGTTGGATGTCACTTTCTATTTCACCATTTGTTTTGATATATGATTTAACCATTTTGATTGCTTTTTTAATTTTTTTCATATCCTTGTATATTATGCACGTACTTTTGAAGATTTTTGATTCATATATTTTGTTTATTCTCGTTTTCTTCCATGGTATTGTACTTTTTGCTGTATTATTAATGTTCTCTTTTATAAAGGTTCCATAAATTGTCTACTGTGTTGTTTCTTTGATCTTCTAAATAAACTGTATTTTGGTCTATTATTTTGTCTAGTTTTTTTTTGGTATTCCTCCCATTGCTTTGTTGATGTGTCTTTTATATTAAACACTATTCTTTGGTGAGACTTCTCATTCTTAGGGTTATTATTGTGTATTGTTTGTTTTGGATTGGTGATTAAGATTTTTATTATATCATGATCACTATTTGTAATAAGTGTTGCGTTTTCTTGTTTATAATTTGCAATATGAGGACTGATTTTTGAATTTGTCCATATTTGGTCTATTCTGCTTTTGCTCCCCCCTCCTTCCTTGTATATATCTCTTTCTGGGGATAAATTGTTCTAGCTATATCGTTCCAGCCTTTATTCTATAGTTCTGTGAATATTTTTGATTCTGGTCTTGAGATATTAGAAATTGGAAATCTGTCTATTTGTGGGTTAGGGACTGCATTATAATCTCCTCCAATTATTGTTGCTGAGGAGGTAGCTGCATCTTTTTTAACTACACACCCCTACAAAAAGTATCAACTCACTTGATGATCTGTCGAAATAATCGAATAAACGGGTAATACAAATACTCGTTTTTTTACTAAGCAAATCAATGTTGTGTGTTAGTAAAAAAATATTTGTTGAAATGATTACCATAACACTCTAAAATATCACATCAGACCAATTGTTATTGATAATTTTATGATGTTTAAAAGTCAAATTAAAATTTTTCGAAAATTTTTTGAAAAAGTAGCACTTAGAGCCATTTTAAGATACAATGTTTTAACACATCTTGGAAACTTAGAAAATGTTGCTCCATTTGTTCTCAAATATATATATATACACATTCATAATTATTGATCGAATATTCATGGAGCATTAATACAAAACGTAAAAAAATTCGGAATGAATTTTTTATACAAGATGATTATCATTATGCGCAAACAAACTTTAAAGGGCAATTGCGGCTGAAATATCTAACCAAAACTAGATTTTTTTTAAAAAAAAAAAGATTGAACTTTCAATTTGTTATTTCAATTAAAACATCATGTCTCAATTAACAGACTTTGAATAATTGGACATTGGGAAGCAGATGAAAGCGTTTGTGACATTGCTGGTGCACTCAATCATTCTCAGTCACAAGTAACTCATGCAATAAAAGCATTTAAGATCAAACTACTATTGCTCCCCAAAAAAATACAAATGAATTAATTTCTTATTTAATGGATTAATGGGTAAATCTTGATTGTGATTATTTGCAAAAATTAGTAGACAGCATTCCTTGAAGGGTCCAAGCTGTAATTGAATCAAAAGGAAACCCAACCAAATATTGAATAAATGAATGAAATATTTGTACTTTTTTGATACTTTTGATATAAATTTAATAAAGATTTATTATCAGTCAGACAGGATTTCACGCGATCGACATGTCTACTGTCATAGCTATGTAAAATTTTTGTGAAACATGTCAATTTTTACTATTAAAATCGAAGTTACTTTTTTGTTTGTTACTAGTACACCCATATATAGTTTTTAACAAGGAACGTGATATTTTGTACACGCATTCTTTGAGACTTATTTTATTTCCTTGTAAAATTTTAGGTATGATTTCATAAAGAAACGAAAAAGAATTACCAGTTGAAAGTTATTCATTCAGTTTTTAACGACATTACCATTTTTAGTAAAATTTTAAAAAAAATTAGTAATTTCAATGAAAACGAAAAACCACCTTTAGAAATAACATTGCTTTATTGAATTTGGGTTGAGTAGTCAACTGTCAATATTATAATTATTTAATAAATAATTCCTTACTAATAAATTTAATGGGAATTTTTGTTTATAAGAATGAATGGGGTGTTCTTTGGCTAATAACAAGATTCATAAAAGGTACATACATATGTTTTTTTTTTTTTTTTGATTCAATTAATTATAATATTAGTTAAAATAATGAATAAGATATGAACAAATAAATAAATTCTAATATTTTTATTTATCTTTTTTTTTAATTAACAGTTTCTTTGTTTTTTTGAGAAAGAAATATTAGTTGACATTCTAATATAGTAAATAATAGGTAATAATGATATATTATTTTCATTGTTTTAATAAAAGATATTAGATTCTTTTTTAATAATGATTAGATTGTTAACAAGTTCTTTCTTTGACAGATATAAAGAAAACATATTTTAGAATTAATATAAATAGATGTTTTATACAATATTCCTACAAAATAAAAATTTGTTAAATCATTGTAATTTCATTTTAATAATTATTAATAAATAAAATTTATTATAATTTATCTTTGTGATCGTAAAAATCATTGTTAAATATATATTTAATTATCAATAATCCATAATCCATAATCCATATCCTACATTTTAATCATCTCTACTTCCATACAAACATAAATTTGTTGTAAAAGTCACAATAAACTTGAATAAGAATAAAATGGATTCAAATCAAAGAAATTTAAATTTGATTGAAAAAGATGTTGAATTGATGGAAGAAGTAAGCTATAATTTAGTTGAAAAAGAAAAGGGATCAGAAAGTGAGTATGATGAAGATGATGATTTTAGAATGTTTGTGTTAGATGAACCAGCTCTAGAGACTGCAAAAAATCTATTTGATTCTCAGAGGTCTCAAGATGTACAAGATGAAGAAAGTAGTGATGAGGAAAGTGATGAGGAAA